GGGGGGGGGGGGGGGGGATTTATTATATGATGCGATTGTGATTATCTTGACACTTTTCTTGTATCAGAATTTAGTTGCTTGAATACTTTTTATGCTTGTTTATGAACAGCAGGCTCATCATAACAAGCTTTTGTTTGCAGGACGTGGCGAAGAAAGTTGGGGAGGTTATAGCTAAGGCCTGTCTAGAGAAAGGAATCACTAAAGTAGCCTTCGACCGAGGAGGTTATCCTTACCATGGACGGATTGAAGCTCTCGCTGATGCTGCAAGAGAACACGGCCTTCAGTTTTAGAAAGTGCAGATTTCTTTTGTTCTTTTTTTGTTGTGCAAATTACCTTTTCTGATCTTCCCATTTGTTCCCAGTTTGTAAAACTCATGTCTAAGAAGTAAGATGAACTGGAGTTTAAATGTATGATCTGCAATTCTTTTTGGTTTTATGGCTCCTTTAAATCAGAACTTAGATTCCCTTTGTACTTCCAACTTTTTATGATATTTACTTTCAATTTTTGGGAAACTTAACTAGTGAAGATCATGGTTAATTTAGTTAGTACAGAACTCAGCTAGATTTTTTTGGGATTTTAAGAAATTAACAGGTCCAATACAGGCAGACCTCTCTATAACAACATCCTTATATAATAGTCATTCGCTATAAAAGTCGAGTTTTTCTTGGAACCAAATATTATATTATGTTATAATATATGTCCTCTATAACAACTCTTCGCTGTAGCAACCAAAAATTTTTGGAACAAACGAGATTGTTATAGAGAGGTTTGATTGTAGATGAAAAACGAATTAGGTATATAAAATGAGGAATTCTTTTTTATTTTATTAATATACTAAATTCGAGCATTAAGTTACAAATTAAAAAAATACAATGTTTGGTTGATTGCATATGAAAAAGTAATCATCTTATAATGCAACATTTGGTTGGTTTTATTAAAAAAAAATAGCACAAATAATGCATCATTTAGTTGATAGTATTAAATAACATCCGCATTAAATTATATGAGAATCTATATAGAATCTAAATTTTTATGCGGAATAGAATATGAAATAAGATATCTATAGCAATTCATACATTAAACTATAAAACCATAATAATGTTTTTAAAATAATTTCAGCATAATAATCTCTTCATTATTAATCTTCTTGAAACTGCAGCCCATCCTTTGTGTTCGCGATTCTTCATTATTAATCATCACATAATAATTCCTTCATTATTAATCATATAATATATCAATATTTATCGTATAAGTAATTCTTGCATAATTAGTGTGTGAATCAAACAACAATTGAATGTAAAATTGAAACGGTTTTAGATATTAATGCAAATCCAATACAGTAAAATCTCTCCATGATTTTCCATTAATCATGAGGATTAGCTGAAAAAAAGAAAAAACAAATTGGTATTAAAACAAGTCTGAGCTTGAATACAACCAATTTGTCAACTGTTTCTCTACCTAACCAACTATCTATCTCTTTTTCTTCTCCTTTTTCTTCTTTGTGTAGGGGAAAATACCAAACTAGAGGCAATAACAATTTCCAAATCTTGTTTTTGGGCGTCAGATTATAGCCACCACATCAACAAGATAACAATCAAGTATATACAGATTGGCTTGATTATTGATATATTCTCCAAACAAACTAATGCGAAAAAACAAAGGTTCAATTTCTGGGATTGGACTTGTCTAAAATTGACCACATCACTTGAACATCTTCATATGGACAAGCCATTACTTCAACTTGCAAATTTACTATATGGTTCTCCGGCCCTGCAACCATATAAGAGTTTATGATCAGTCGAAAAACAACGACAGAAAACCAACAGACAACCGACACATGTAGAGACAGATCTAGAATGAGTCAACGGGTTTAAATGAACTCATTGCTTTTACGTCGATTCATAAGCACATAAAGGGGCAGCCGGATGCACTAAGCTCCCGCTATGTGCGGGGTCCGAAGAAGTGTCGGACCACAAGGGTCAATTGTACGCAGTCTTACCCTACATTTTTGCAAGAGACCGTTTCCACAGCTCGAACTCTTGACCTCCTAATTACATGACATCAATTTACGCTTATACAGTATATAGACTCATTTTGTACCTACTGACCGTAAATTCTAGATTCGTTTGTGACACATGCAATATAATCTATGCAATGTACATCACATACCTTCTTGTTGAGACTTCTTATCCCTAGGTGATTGTTGATTGAACAAAGTTCGTCGAGCTTTTCTGAAAGGAGATGTGATTGATCGGACCAACGAAGACACTTTTCTATTCTGATGATAAGTCGTCATGATTGATCTCGTGAAAAGATGTTCTGCTAGAAATCTTCTTAGTACTACCTATCAGGATCTATAACTACTTACTATTGGCTAAGAACACAAAATTGAGTGGTTTATATAGAATGTACGTGTCACCTATAGCTACAATATTTTAAATAAAAGATAGTATGGACCATAAAAGGCAGGCAAGATCCGTGAGAATAGCTCTCTCTATATGTAATTTTAATTAATTTCTCTCTCATTTTAAATGTTTTTGTTATCTCTGCATTTTCAAGTTTAGGTTATTTCCTGTTAGCACATGGCTCTCACGCTCCATTGATGGACCATTCCATGTGAAAACCTTTACTTTTCCATTGTAGAAAGTTACGTTGACGTAAAGTTGAGCTCAAATATCAAAGTAAACAAATTTATAACGAATATAACGCCTAATCTGCAGGTTGAATATTATATTGTTTGACTTTCTATATTTTTTTGCATTTCAATTATATATTTTCTCTAGTGACTTTTGTATTTGTTCGTCAAATCTTTGTTCAATTCCATTCAAGCTCGATTTTGTCTAAATGTTTGTGAAGGAAGAAGCGGCTCAATTCAGTGGCGTAGCCACACTAGGTGAATGGTGTGGTTAAGCAAACGCCCTTCGCTGAAAAATTATACTCTGAATATAAATTAAAATACTATTTTATAAGATTATATATTATATTTTGAACACCCTTAATATAGAGCCCATTTGGATGAGTTTATTTTAAATGACTTTTAAGCCAAAATAGCTTTTAAGCCATAAGTTAGGAATTCTAACTTTTGGCTTTTGGTTTGTTTTTGTCATTTTAGCTTAAAAACAAGTATTTAAAAGCATTTTTTTTACTCTATCCAAACACTACAAAATGACTTGAAAGTTATTTTGGCTTAAAGCACTTAAAATAAGCCAATCCAAACGGGCTCATAGTTGAGTGAGACAGTCCAGTGATCCAGGGTGTTCAAAGTGATGTACTGTTCAGGGGTTCAACGTTATCTGGCCATTTTTTTTCCAAAACTAAACACAGACAGTACCACGTGGTCTATTAGGCTCTTTTTAAAATAGTTTATACCTTTCATTAGCAAAAACTTTATTGACCTGTTTAAAGTTTGAACACCCTTGACGAGATTTCTGGCTACGCCACTGTGATTCATTGGCCACTACATCAGTAGACAGAGGCGGACGAACATTATAAGGAGAGGGGTACTGACACCTGAAAACTTAGGCAAAAACTCTATGTATACTTGTAACTGTCGTCGAGAAATAATCAGATATTAACATAGGCTCCCGTACCAATCTTTATGAGCATTGATAAATTTATAATCATGATGTCTTGCGACCACCAAATCCTAGGTCCGCCTCTGTCTATAGATCCTACTAAATCATTAAACATTTTAGTTCAGCTATAATTAGGACACGAGTTCGAACACAAATCGCAACTGTAATTAGGAAACGTTGGTTCTACAAAGAAAACTTAAACGCGCTGCCGTAGGTAATTAGGAAGCAGCATTTGCCGTTTTTCTTGCTTTCTGTTCCAACCTCCAAGTTTAATTAAGGCTTCAGCCGACCTATCATTGTTAAGTAAAATGTTTATTAATTTTTAAACTTATGTTGGACTTTGATTAAGCCTCATGGGGCGGGAAAGTGGGATTTGAAATTAGTTAAAGGAAGCAAACTAAAATAAAGATGGTTAAGTAGAAACATGCTTGCATACGGGTAAAATCGGGGATAATGCATACCCTGATTTCCCGGTGAAGAAAACGGAAGAAGGGCATGGACGCACGAGATTGAAATCGAGGCTGGGAGCCCTTCGTATCCAGACCCATGAAAGATGAACGATGTGTTCATCATCGGGCATGATAAAGCGATGATCCCCGGACCCAGAACGAGTTCTATGACCTAGAAAAACACGGTAAATGGTTACACACGACGGATAGAGGGCCGTGATATTCGTATCTAACCGGATATCACGGCGCAGATCTCGCTCAATGTTGGTTACAAACCAGTAATTAACGAAAAAGACTTGTAATAGGGATGAAACTCTCCTACTATATAAAGAAAAGGTTTTCTTTTGTAACACGCAAATCAAAGCAATACAAATTCATTTTCTACTTTCTAGCTACTGAAAAAGTTCTTATTTAATCATTATGTTCCTCATTCACAGTTGGGCTCCAACCAAGGGTCCAATCGAGGGCAAAGTTACTCTTCAACCTAGGTTTGGGCTAGGCCATAACATTACAACTGGTTTGATCTTTTATTTTGTCTTTAACTCGTTTATCTAATATTCTTGATTATTTGTGTTGAATCAATCCACGTATCCTTAAAACTGCGTACAAATTTAATTATTATTTGATTTAAGGATACATAGTTTGGCGACCACCGTGGGGCTAAGGATAATAGTGGTGATTTGATATGAATCTCCATAACACACCTTATTTTACGCTTGTTCTTCAAAGTCTTAATTTCAAGTCAGCTCAAATATGTCGAATTCTCAGTCTGCCCACTTGAACGTTGATGCTAAGTCTGGCCATTATGGCGAAAATAGTACTTTGGTGCCTAGCGACGAGGCGCCTCCTATTGATCCCAACGGTATCCCAGTTGCCGATCCGGTCGATGCTAACTCACAGGTGCCCATCAACGCCAATTTGCCAACTGATCCTGAAAACAGCATCCGCGGAGAACCCCGACTAATAGCTCGAGAAGCGTCCGGAGGCAAAGGTGATGGGGTAAGTCTACGGCTAATCTTCGAAATGTTGCAGGCTCAAAAGGCGGCAATAGCACAGCTACAGAATCAAAGCCATGCCCCCAGCAAGGTCAAGCCCGAACAATCTCGGGAAAATGCCCGAATAAACGAACAAATCATTGAGAGATCGGGTGAAGCCGAGCTCAGGGTCAATCCTAAGATAATGAAAATGCTTGAAGCATTAAAGAAACGGGTAGAGTCAGGTGAGAGGAAAATTGAGGCCAATGACAAGAAGGTGGAAACATACAATTCCAGGGTCGATCAAGTCCCGGGAGCACCCTTGATATTGAAGGGTCCGGATTATAAGAAATTTATCCAGAAGCCTTTTCCTCCGAGCGCGACACCAAAGCTGATCCCAAAAAGGTTTTGTATGCCCTATATCCTCAAATATAACGGAACCACAGATCCGAACGAGCATGTGACCTATTATACATACGCAGTCAAGGGGAACGACTTGGAAGACGATGAAATCGAGTCGGTGTTACCGAAGAAGTTTGGGGAGACTTTGTCCAAAGGAAAAATGATATGGTATCACAACTTACCCCCAAATTCCATTGACTCATGTACTATGCTTGTTGATGCTTTCGCAAAAGCCCATGCCAGGGCCATCAAGGCCGAGACCAGAAAGTCAGACTTTTTCAAGGTTAAACAAAAAGACAACAAGGTGCTCAGAGAGTTTGTGTCAAGGTTCCATATGGAACGGATGGACCTGCCTCCAGTTGCAGACAATTGGGCTGTTCAGGCATTCACTCAGGGGCTTAACCCTCAGAACTCAGTGGCCTCGCAACAACTAAAACAAAATTTGGTAGAGTACCCTGGGGTGACCTGGGCCGACGTCCATAACAGATACCAGTTAAAGATCAGGGTCGAGGATGACCAACTCAGAGCTCCTTCTGGGTTTGTTTATCCATCAAGGCCGATGATAGATCTAAGAGAGTCGTTTGATCATGAGCCAAGACCGGTGCAGGATCGGTACGACCATACAACGTGGACCGAAGAGGAAATAGGTCCGGGTGTCATCCCACAAGGAACGAGAAGAGAGGTGATCGAGGGCCCAACATCCGAGGTCTGATGAGCAAATATGGTTTTGACAGGCCGCTTGGGGTAGGGAAGCACCGAGATTATTAGAGTGTAACTTCAACGTTGATGATGCCAGCATCGTGTCAGCCATCGAGCACATCAAAGAGACCAAGTGGCCCCGACCATTGTAGTCTGATCCTACCTAGAGAGATCCTAACATGATGTGTAAGTATCACGGCACTCATGGTCACATGACCGAGGATTACCGGCAGTTGAGAGAAGAAGTTGCCCGATTATTCAAGAATGGGCACCTCCGAGAATTTTTGAGTGATCGAGCTAAAAAACCCTTCAGGAACAGGGACGCTAACAAATAGGTCGAACAAGAGGAGCCTCAGCATGTCATCAACATGATCTTCGGAGGAGTCGATGTCCCCCAAGGACCAATGATAAAGCACACTGGAAAAACGCACCTGGGATTATGTCCCAAAGGGAACCATTTTGTTCAGCGACGAGGATGCCAAGGGCATTGTGCAACCTTATAATGATGCGCTGGTAATATTTGTACTTATTAATAAATCTCGAGTCAAACGTATATTGATTGATCCAGGTATCTCGGCCAACATCATCAGATCAAGGGTCGTAGAGCAATTGGGGTTACAGGACCAAATCATTCCAGCAGTCCGGGTGTTGAACGGATTCAACATGGCATGTGAAACCACTAAAGGAAGATAACCCTACCAGTAAACACTGTCGGGATGATCCAAGAGACAAAGTTCTACGTGATCGAAGGGGACATGATATATAACGCTCTATTCGGGAGGTCACGGGTTCACAACATGAGGGAAGTACCCTCGACCTTGCACCAGGCTTTGAAATTCCCTACACCGGGAGGAGTCAAGATGGTCTACAAAGAGCATCCAGCCACAAAGGAGATATTCGTTGTTGATGAGGTAATCCCGGTGCCTGCGGTTTTGACATCAAGGAACTCACAGCCGGCCAGAAAGGAAGAAATTAAATGGCAATCACTGATGTCGTCCCCGACCGAAATGGAGGAATGAGGAACAAACGAGGAGGACGATTATGGTGTCCTGAGATCATTCATAGCTTCTGATGGTACTAATGCCACCAATTTAACGGTTGAAGAGTTGGAGCAAGTCATATTAATCGAACACCTACTGGACCGAAAGGTATGCCTGGGCACGGGGTTAACCCCCAAGCTCGGGAAAAAAACTTATTGATTTTCTTAAAGTTAACGTAGACTATTTCGCTTGGTCCCATCTTGACATGACAGAGATCCCACCAGAGGTAACCACTCATAAACTGAGTTTGGACCCAAAGTTCCATC